TAATCAAGAGCTTTCATTTGAGTACCCACATGCATTTTTTATATATATATATTTTTTTAACGTGTTCTACAGCTATAAATAAAACAATTGTGCATTCATAAATATTTGTAAAAATATATATGACCCAAGAGATAAAAAATAAAAATAAAAATATTATAGTGAACTATGGAATTTTTGGTCATCATACATTCGCATTTTTTTAAAATAATACGGACGACCGTAGAGATTTTAATTAACAAATTTTTACTTAATTAAGTAGAGAATTATTATAAAATTCCGAGGGAAAAATATTTTATAGAGAGAGTAAAATGTTTTTTATTACTAGTTATAAATTTAATGATTTTTATATAAATATAAATTTTAAAAAATAGATATTCAACGAGTTGAATATCAAATTTATAAAAAAACTAGTATAGTATAACATCAAGATGAGCTTATATCTTAAATATATATATATATGAAAAATATATCAAAATTTAATGTTATTAAATTTAAAAAATTTTTTTTTTTTTTTAAATTGAATTTTTTAGTTTTGAAAATTTTTTTTGTCATCATTGATTTCTTATAAATTTTATAAAATTATTAAATATATGCTAAATTAATTTTTATTAATTATGAAATGAGTTTGTATCTCGTGAAATATTGATATTTTTAAAGATATAAGCTCATCCCGACATTACACTCATCGAGACCTTTAATTTGAGTACCCACATCAATTTTCCATATATTTTATATATTTATATATATATTATATATATAAATCTACAAAAAATATATAAAAAATGCATGTGGGTACTCAAACGAAAGCTCTTGATGTGTATAACATCAAGATGAGCTTATATCTTAAAACCCTTCAATATTTACCAAAATACTGCAATTTATCCCAAGCTTTCTCTAAAATCTCCCAAATTCCCACTAAATAAATCCTCCCTTACCTCCTCCTGCGCGCATGCTCCAAACATCTCCGTCTAAGACCGAACCGCGGGAGCTTTAGTTTAATTCCCGCGTCCGCCTGGTCCGCACCAATGGCTCTCAAACCATCTCTCCCGTGAATCCTAAAATATGTATCTTAACTTCGGAAGCAAGTTAAAGTGTGCGCGTGTCCGTCGGTCAATTGACAATTTAAACCTCTCCTCTGCTTCTTTTCCACCAGAGGAGAGTAACTTTAGCGCTAATTTATCTTACAATTTCAATTACCTGGACTACGATGAAGAATCAGCAATCTGCAACCCGGTGCTGTTCCTTTTGGAGCTGTTCCACCAATATTACATCCCTTCAATTATCTTCCTGGGTCTTGTCGGGAATTTGCTGTCCTGCGTTGTTTTTCTGAACACCCACTTGAAGATGCGAAGCTCCAGCTACTATTTAGCAGCATTAGCCACCACAGACTTCAGTTTCTTAATAACTTTAATGGTAGTCTGGCTGAACTTCAAGATAAACTGGAAAGTCTTCAACGAAGACGGCTGGTGCGAAATTCTCGTCTACGTTAGCGCAGTTTGCAGTTCATTAAGTGTCTGGCTAATTGTTGCCTTCACTGTGGAGAGGTTCATCGCTGTTCAGTACCCGCTGCACCGTCCGTACATCTGCACAGTAGCAAGAGCCAAAATGGTGATTTTTATCTTAACAGTCTTGGCGTTAGTCTGCCATTCTTACGCTTTCATCACTGCTGGGGTTACTAAAAGCCGCGATGGTGTGGAAGATGTTTGTGATCTTAAGCCGGAGTACCTTGAGGTCATGAGGGTCATTAATATCACTGATACAGTCGCTAGTTTGATTCTTCCCCTGATTTTAATTGTGGTGATGAATACTATGATCATGAGGAACTTCTTGAAGTTCAGCAGGAGGTTCAAGCAAACTACTAGTGTGCCTGGGACTTCTAATCAGTGTGCCAGTAAGGATAGGAGTGATATTAATCTCAACCAGGTGCCTGTAAGTTTTGAAGGTTTTTAAGAGCTTTCGTTTGAGTACCCACATGCTTTTTTATATATTTTTCATATATATATATGGGGTATTCCATGCCAAATCGACCACTTTTGACCCCGACCCTTTTCGATTTGGCCGAAAGTTTTCCATCCTTTTCTACCCTATAAAAAACGGTTCTCAGAATTTTTTTGAATTTTTTTACCTAACTCCAAAAAAGTTATGAATTTTTCAAAAAAATGGCTTTTTTATTTTCAAATAGCCATAACTTTTTCAAAACTAAACATTTAGGTACCTTTTTTTTTTCAAAATTTTTGTTTTTAGATGTACTTTCCGATAAAAAATATTAAAAAATTTTTGTAAGTCAATACATATGGAATTTTTCAGTTTTTTG